TGGTTAATGCTAATAAAGAATCAAGATAATAAATAAAGCAGTCAGTGGGTTGTGTAGCTCCGGACTCCATGGCAACAAGAACTTCAAGACAGTGTCACATGCAATTCCTCTCCAACTATAGAAAATATTTCATTAATCCTGAAATTAACATGACAGTGCAGAGACAATTAGGTCTATGCTAAGGACCACATTTTAAAGATATGGACATTGAAGAAACCCGAAAGCCATGGTTTGCATCAAAGACCCCAGTTATGGGTTCCTATATTGAACCAACTCTTGAAGCTTAAAAGGCTATATGCTAACCAGTAACCACGTCATATGAAAAGTTGGCACCAAATCTTTGCTAAAACTACTACCTCTGTCCCAATTTGTTATCCTTGTTTCACATTATGAGGTTTGAAACATTAAGATCAACTTCCCCTGAAAATACTTCAATTGGAACTTTTACAAAACTACACAAAGAGTTCTACTGAACCGCAGAATGAATTCAAATACAGTAAAACTTTGATACACAAAATCAGAAAATAACCACAAAAGTTGACCACACTAAATGACAAAAAAAAGAAAGAAAGAGGAAGTGTTTTATTTACCTAAACCTATCGAGTTTCACTTCTTCAAGCCATGTTGTTGTGTATACCTGCAGTAAGAAAACAAAATGGTATTACGTAGTAATAGCTTCTCCAGAGTATCAGAAGTGAATACATAGCATCAACCAGCACGTAACAAGAACCCCACCTTCAGGTATCCATACGACCCCTAGTTTACTTTATAGCACAAGGAGATAAGCCGCAATGAGAGCTTATGTAGAGCTCGATAAGCCGCAATGGGAACATGATGTAACATGTCGTAATTAAATGCACATGTCATGTATATTTAGACAACAAAATTAACTACATGAGTACATTACATCTTGATATGATTCATAAAATAAAGCTTTAGCTCTAAGCGAAATCATTTTAGTTTGGCTAAAGGGTCAAATAGGTCCTCAAACTAACTTAAAAAGTGCAAATCACCCCTTGTATAGGAGGTTCTGTCATGCCATCACCATTTGGGGCGGTTCCCAGTGGAATTTTTTGATGATTTTTTTGAGCATCTTCTTCATTAAGTCTAGTTTACCCATACCAAATTTCAGATAAAAATTCAACCGGGAAGATAGTCAAATGATTTTGTGAAATGTACTACGCTGTTTAACTGCGCAGATATCTTCAAAAATTCATTTGACTGTTTTCCCAATTGAATTTTTAGCTGAAATTTGGTATGAGTAAACTGGACTTAATGAAGAAGATGCTCAAAAATTTCATCACAAAATTCCACCGGGAACCGCCCCAAATGGCGGCGGCCGGAGACCTAAGGGGTGATTTGCAATTTTTAAGTTAGTTCGAAGACCTATTTGACCCTTTAGCCTTTTAGTTTTATTTAGCCGAGAAAGTCGGATTGGATTCAAATCACTCTGTATTCAGAAGTAAGTAAAGAGCAAATAAACATATGTTGAAGGCCTATAGCACAAAGTCACAAACGTATGTACTCCACATTAGTTATCTCCACCTTGTCAAATGATAACTACATATTGTTTCCCTATGAAAGAAAAAATGGCTATTTTACCTGAACCTAATCCATAGAAAAGGTAATTACACAATGGTTTCAAACAAGATATGAATATAGGAGTAAATCCACCAGTACCTGGAGAACATTACTCTCGGCTTGATCACGGGGTGAATTTGAAGGTATACTTGATTTGCAATTTCTTTGACCCAGGAAAATTGGTTCATTGGAATACAAATCGCATATAATGAGATCACCAAACTCCCCTAGATACAACTCTTCTGACCAATGAATGCTGTCTTCTTTGTCACCAATGGAGCAAAATTCCATCACAAGTAACCGCTGCATGCCATATTAAACTTTAATGCAAACAAATTGAGGAAAAAAAAAAGGCAAGCCAAAGTGTCAAATAATTGAAGGCTAGATTTAATAGGTACCTTTAAATTCATTTCAGATTTTAACATTTGAACCAACTCTTCTGCCAGTTGCTCTGAAAATTATTAAAAATGTCAGTTTGTACAATCAAGAACCATCTCTTTGAATATACAGTAAGAATTTTGCTTGTGGGGTATTTATGTACACACACAATTGATGTGTAAGATAGGCATTTATTGTAATAAAAAAGTTGTCCTCACTATCTTCCATTCAATTGCAAAAGTCAATTTTTTTATACTAAAAACAACATTAATGATTAAAAAACTGATCGTATATACGTAGTATTATATAGACTTCTAATTTTATACTTTTCAATAAGAATAGATCCAGATCGAGCAAAAGAGATGTATACCAAAAGAAGATATTGACAAAAAGGAGAATACGGGAACTCCACCACCATCACCACCATTGTCAATCTGATGATAATCATCAGCAGCAGGGTTGCAAGAAAACTGTACATTTGGGCTGTTGCCCATCCCTTTGACATAACACCTCATAGATCTAGAAGCCTTGACCATCTGAGTTACGATGCCGACCTACATAAATAAATTAACTTACAATTCAATTACTCAAGAACATATTTGTTCTTGCAATTAATCATAATAACACAAATTCGGAGAAAAGGATGTCAAATTTAATAAAACTACTTTAATATAGGTAATATGTGAAACAACCCCTTTGATCTGTATGGCCTTCTCCAGATATTTAATCATTCTTAACTCGTGAAAAATTTAATGCATTTCTAATCTAAAATTGCTTGTAAAGCCAAAAAATAAACATTAAGATTAGTAGATTTCTAAAAGTTTACTTCTTTTCAGTTTCTTCTTCAGAATAAATGGTTTTCACCTCCAAACGACTAGTTTTAGGATCTCAAGGACTCCTAAGCTACTGATGAAGAAATAGTTCATATTCACTAGATTCTGACAAATCGGCATTCTTTGCATCAAACAGCATAAAAAGGGCAGCCCAGCGCACATGGGCGTCCTTGTGGGGGTTCATCAAATAGCATAAGAAAAAAAATCAATAGCAACATCTCTAACTGTAGTAAAAAGGCAAATCAACCTTGGTAAACTATCAGATTTATCGAAAAAACAGCCATAAAGTTTACCATGTTCTGCGTACATACCATACTTTTGTATGTCAACAAGAGCTGACCCCTATTGATCACCTAAAGAGTAGAAATAGAAAGAGATATTTGAGAAAAATAAAAATGCAAAATAAAACAATTTAGTTGAAACAGATTTATAGATTCTACTCCTGTGTGGCAAATTCATAATCACCTGCTGCTTGTGTAACTTGTGGCATGCTTTCTTTTGTAATTCTGGCATGTCACTCAAAACTCCAAATTCCATTGCCTCCATGTACCTATGCAGAAATGGCGCTTTACATTTACAATCAATTTCAGAGTTCAGACTCAATATGGACACACATGCTAGCCTGTTCTTCTTGAGGGTCTAAGTACCGGTATTTATACCAACAAACTCATTTAGCTTATATTCTCATAGACAAAAAATTGAAGTCTAAATAAAGACTAAAACAAATATGTGGAACTGCATTTGATATGCAGTGAATAGAAAAGGTGGGATTTTTATTTCCTCCTATTGTGCTTTTTTACCTCTGCGAGAGATAAGAGTTTACTAGAGAAGAGGCGTGGGAGTGAGCAGTATAGGAGGAAGAGAGCCAGTCGTTCCATAGAGAAACCAATTTCAACCACTGGTTTTTGAGATTCCTCTGAGCGGCCGGTCTCCACTGACGCAATATTTGGGAGGACGGTGGCGTCACCGGCGGCGGTGCTGGAGATTTTGCGGCTGGGATTTGGAGGTTGAGGTCCATGGGCTCATTCTTGTATTCCATTCTCACTCCCTTGAAATTCTGGCATAACCGCATAATCACCCAATTCCACCCCAAACAAACTCATGTCATTCCCCCGTCCAACTAACCTAAAAAAAAACTGTAAGTTTAGCTGTGTCTCCTTCGATAGTGGGAGATCTGTTCAAACGGTTCGATTTCTACTTAAAACCAAATGCGGAACTAAAGTAAAAAGTTCGGTTTGATTTTATGATGAAAACTTTAGAATCATGGTTTGTTCGATTCGGTGCCGGTTTTTTCAATTTTTGCCAAGATATTTTAGTTGATTAAAAAATAGTAATTTTAATATGTAATTGGGGTGCAAAAAAACAAAGACTTTTAAAAAGAGGTTTGTGATACAAAAAATACCCCATATTATGTAGTTGGGGTGCAAAAACATATGTTGGCCCCCATGTTTATAGCTAAAAAATGATTTGCCAAAAAAGTTTGGAGTGTAGATGGGGTGCAAAAACACCCCCATTGAAAGTTTGGAGTGTAGATGGGGTGCAAAAACACCCCCGTTGTTTATAGCTAAAAAGGAGAAAATTGTCAAATACACCCTCGAAGTGTGTAACACCGTCCCCAAAAAGTATTTACTTTTAAGTAAATAATGTATTGAACTTATGGAATGGTTAACGAGTATTCGTAGTTGTGAATTTTTATTTATTCTTTCGCACGAATAGTAAATTCGCACGTGGGGCCCGCACCGGGAGCGGGGGCCGCCCGATATTTCCGGGACCATATAATTATTCATCTTGGTCTAGATAACATTTATATGGTGGTGGATAACTCATTTGAACCATGGAAGGGTCCTGAGTTGACCGATCGGTCAAAAGAGGCCCAAATACCGGCATTGGCAATTTAACCGATAAAAGCCCGAAATTAAATTTCGGGGACTTATAAATTAAAGTTGGGGAATGAATATTCATTATATGGGTCATAATGATGGAGAACACATAATATATTTTATTTGGCCCGATAAAATAAAATATATTTAAAACAGTCCGAAAAATACAACTTTCGGGACAAATTGTACACTTTGGGACCTGAAGGGTTGACCTCCCACATGGGTGGGGGCCAACCCACGAATTTGGACACTCCATTAGGGGCTTGGTCGGCTGGAGGGCATGGGGAAGGAGTGGGAGTGAATAGAAAGGCATCAAACAAACTTAAGGTGGGCCTCTCCCACACCACTCTTGCTTTTGAGACAAAAGAGACACCTATCTCTCTCCCTCTCTCACCCACTCGACCACCATCATCCAAGGAAGAGAAAACCTCCAAGAAATATACCTCCTCCATAGCCTAACTCGTGCTGCAACTCAACAAGGAAGAAGAAAGAAGTTTGAGGAAGAAGAGGGGGTGGGAAAGTGTGTTGATTGAGGTAATGACCTTATACTAGTTTTTCTTTATTCATTAACAACCACATGGCTTGCATAGCATGTGAGGAACCCTTATAGTAGCTCTACATTCTTAGGAATGTAGAAGGAGGGGTTGAGAGGAAGTTCCAAGTCCAAGAGCGGACATAGGGGCCATAATAACCGGTTTACCGGGAAATAACCTTTTAGAGGTTATTTGTATTGATTAAGGTTTTATGATGTTAAAACCTTGTTAGGAACTTGATTAAAGTATTTTTGAGCTTCGCCGGAGTTTCGCCGGAGTTGGTCAACGTTCGCCGGAGTTGGTCAAAGTTCACCGGAAATTAGTCAAAGTTCAATCGGGGAGCGTAGAACGCGCGTGAGCTCACTTAAGGTGAGGATGACCGACTATATTGCTTATAATCTTTGGGTTAATTTCATGAGATTCCCTAAATGAATATACAATGTGATTTGCATGGATTATTAATGGTTAATAATGCCTAAATGAAATTACTATTGATTATAAGTATAGCTTGCATAATATACAAATTTATTGAATAAATTGTGTATGTCTAAATGTTATGAATATGATGGCATGGTAGTAGTATCAACCATAAATTCCCATTTGTGATAAGTATACTTTTATTTCATGAGAAGAAGCCATGAAGGAATAAAAGTGATATTTTGATATTGAGGCCAAATTACATGTTGAATGAAGAATTACATTGAAATGAATAAATAACTAGTATTGAAATATTAGTTGGAATTGTAGTTGAATAATGGATGAATGGATCCTAAGAAATTGAATTGTAAAGAATCGGTGATTATTGAGCTGGGCTCTAGACCGATGTAGATAACGGTGATTATTGAGCTGGGCTCTAGACCGTAGTAGTTATCGGTGATTATTGAGCTGGGCTCTAGACCGATGTAGATAACGGTGATTATTGAGCTGGGCTCTAGACCGTAGTAGTTATCGGTGATTATTGAGCTGGGCTCTAGACCGATGTAGATGACGGTGATTATTGAGCTGGGCTCTAGACCGTAGTAGGTAACGGTGATTATTGAGCTGGGCTCTAGACCGTGATAAGAAATGATGAATTGACACTAAACGAATAAAGTTAACCACGATATAATAACACCCTAGGTTGAGGGTCTTGGAAATTGAAACGTTGATTATATTTAGTATAGTTGTCATTGTACTTGTCAAATGCTTCCAAGTACTGACCTCCCCTTCACGGGGGAGGCCACCTCACAGTTTCAGGTAGAACTTGAAGGTTGCTACCACCGCCCGTTGCTTCGGGAAGATCAAAGGAGGGAGACGTGGTTCGTGCTTCTTCCGTTCCTGTTTTAAAAACATTTAAATTAATGCTCATGGATATTATATTTTTGAATAACTATTTGGGGGCTTGTATGCCCAAGTTTGCCAAGTGTGGCATGAATACTTGTATCAAATGTTTCCGCTGCTTGAATGAATGTTTTACATTATGCTTGTTTATGGATGTACTATGTGTGAATGATATCCCAGACGCCTTGTATAGTATGGATGTGTTGAACTGTGGTTGACTATTCGTACTGTACGGCGGATTGTTGACGTGTCCGGATAGGTCCGGGGCGTGACAATTTAATTGGTATCAGAGCCTTAGTCCGTAAACTTCATAATGAAGCTTCAAAATCTCTTTTGAAAACAAATTTGAAAACCATGAGCATAAAAGTTTTGTACTTAAAGAACTTTTGGTACTTGAGTTGCAAAGTCTCTAATTGTTAAGATGGTACCCTTAACAATTGGTATGACGGTGATTTGAGCCAAAGGATGTCTTTAAGTACCTATCCGTCACTTGACATTGATACGAGTCTAATGACTCATTCTACTTCCTTTCAGAAATGGAGCCAGTCGGAAGGATCACTAGGAGGAACCCGACGGGCCGTGTACCGGGTGGGTCCGAGCGCGGTAGCCGGGGGTCCTCTAGGGGATCAAGAGGAAGAGGCCGCGGAGGCCGACAACAACAAACCGTAAGCGATGGCCACGTCGATACGGAAAGCGAGACCTATTGGTCTTATGAGGACTCGACCTACCGGCCGGAAACTGAGCCGGTTGAGACCCCTTATGAAGGGGATGACGACGATGTTAGTGACGAGGAGGAAAATGGCTCCTTGGCTAGGATTGAAGCACTGCTCCAACAATATCATCGGGAGCGTGAGGAAAGGAGAGAACGCCGAAGGCGCCGTGCGGGGCCACCTTCGGGCGGGGCTCCAAGAGGGAGGAGCTACTGTGATTCGAGGACCCATGTAGAAGCGCATGGGAGCCGTGGTGATGGAGGTCCAACCATAAGGATCTCCAAATACATCAAGGAGGCGAGAGACTTGGGGTGTAAACCGTTCGATGGGACGGGAGACATCTCAGTTGCCGCGCAGTGGATCAAGAGGCTGAACGAGGCAGCCCTTGACATGCAACTCACCCCCGATTTCAAATTGAGAATCGGGGTGAGGTTACTTGAAGGGTTAGCATCCAAGTGGTGGGATGGAACCAAGGGTAAGTATGGCGGGACAGTTACTTGGGAGGATTTTCGGCAAGAATTCTTTGCCCAATACTACTCCGACTTTGAGGTAAACGCCAAAGTGAGGGAGTACACTCTTTTGACCCAAGGGGGTAACATGACGGTGAAAGAACTTGAGCATAAGTTCAGGGACCTTGCCGACCACATACCGGAGTATGCGTGTGATGAGAACCGAATGGTGAATCACTTTTGGGAGGCCTTGGACTTGGAGATACGTGATAGGGCGACTCAATTGCCCAACATGACTTTCAGCCAAGTGGTTGCCCAGGGGTTGAAGGGAGAAAAGCAATGGGAGGAAAGGAAGAAGAGGGACGCCGAGGAGGCAAAGAAGAGGAAATGGGAGAGCCATGGCCCCCAAGGTTCTAATAAGAAAGGGAACCATGGGGGAGGAGGATCATTCAGGGCACCGGCACCACCATCTAGGGGAGGCTCAGGCACGGGTGGACAAACCTCGGGCTCGCAAGCCCCAATGATGATTAGATGCAGGAATTGTAACAGGAACCATGGGGGTAAGTGTCGTGACCCTCCTCGGTGCTACCAATGTGGAGACACGGGGCATATTAAACCAAATTGCCCTCAACTTGGTGGGAACCGAGGGGTGGGATCAAGCGGCGCTACCACGGCAAGTAGGAACCGAAGCGGAGCACCCCATGCTAGTATGGGGCAGGGGGGAGCGAGCACAAGCAACGCGCCGTCCGTGAACCAAGGAAGGACTCAAGCTAGAGTCTACGCAATGACCGAGGCCGACGCTCGGGCCAATCCCGACTCCGTTGCAGGTAATCCCTTGTAACGATCGATAAATTACATGTATTGAGTGCTAAAAGTGATAGCGGGTTTGTACGGGCTCGCCGGGGCCGATGCCGGCCGGTTTCCTAGCAAAAAGTTGCAAAAATAAACTGCCCAGGGGTAAACCGGCGCCGGTCGAGGCATAAACCGGCGCCGGTTCTAATTAAAAGCCTTCGTTTTGAGGTCGCCGTGGGTAAACCGGCGCCGGTTTTGGCCCATAACCGGCGCCGGCCAAGGGTCGGGGAGGCTTAACTAATGAAAAATTTTATTTCCGGGGGACGCCGTAGCAAAACCGGCGCCGGTTTTGGCCATAACCGGCGCCGGTCTAGGGGAAAAGAGGTCGGAAAAATCACCGTGCTCGCAACCGGGGCCGGTTTTGAGTTTTCCGATGTTGCCGAAGGTGAACCGGCGCCGGTTTTGGCCATAACCGGCGCCAGTCCAGTTTAATTTGTGAGTATCCGGCCACCCCGAAGGCAAACCGGCGCCGGTCTTGCCTAGAACCGGCGCCGGTCCAGTGTATTTTCACCTGAAATGTGTTTGTTAAGCCCCGTTTCGATCCGGTACGTTGAGTGGTGTGTCTTACATGACTTATATATGTAGGAACATTAAAGATCAATGGTAGAAACGCAAGAATTCTCATTGATACCGGGGCACAACGTTCATTCGTGAGTGAAGCGTTTGCCGAAAGTTTAGGCGTGCCGTTGATAGTAATGACACAACCCTTGTTGGTCTCTACACCGTTGGGAGACGATGTGGAAAGGAAACACTACTATCCTTCGTGTGAGGTAGAAGTGACGGGTCAACCTTTGACTTGTGACTTCGTACCTCTAAGTATGTTAGAATTCGATGCAATTCTAGGGATGGATTGGCTCGAGAAACATCATGCTCGAGTGGATTGTTATGCCAAGGTTTTGGAACTCGAGGATGCTGAGGGAAACACTCTACGTTTCGAGGGAGATCGGGGAGGATCTCATAGTTGCATAATATCCGTGATGAGGGCACGGAAGATGATGAAGAAGGGATGCCACGCATACCTTGCTTACGTGGTGGATGAAGCAAAGAAGGAGGTTGACATCAACGATGTACGTGTCGTGTGCAAATATCCGGATGTCTTTCCCAAAGACTTGCCGGGGCTTCCACCCGACAGGGAGATCGAATTCGTAATTGAAGTGGAGCCGGGAACCAAACCCATTTCGATTCCTCCTTATCGAATGGCACCGGCCGAGCTTCAAGAGTTGAAGGTTCAACTTCAGGAGCTATTGGACAACGGGTTCATTAGACCCAGTCATTCACCGTGGGGAGCACCCGTACTCTTCGTAAAGAAGAAAGATGGTACACTAAGAATGTGTATAGACTATCGACAGCTAAACAAGGTCACAATCAAGAACAGGTACCCTTTACCGAGGATTGACGACTTGTTCGATCAACTTCGAGGGGCAGCAGTATTCTCGAAGATTGATTTAAGGTCAGGGTATCATCAGCTGAAGATAAAGGAGAGTGACATACCCAAGAGTGCTTTTCGCACTAGATATGGTCACTACGAGTTTTTGGTGATGTCGTTTGGTCTAACCAACGCACCGGCGACATTCATGGACATGATGAACCGTGTGTTCAGTGAATACTTAGATCAATTTGTGATAGTATTCATTGACGACATTTTGATATACTCCAAGAGTGAAGAGGAGCATGAAGATCATTTGAGTCTTGTACTTGAACGACTAAGGGAAAAACAACTCTTTGCCAAATTCTCTAAATGCGAGTTTTGGCTCAAAGAGATTGGGTTTCTCGGGCATGTCGTGTCAAGTTCGGGCATTTCGGTGGATAAAGCCAAGATAGAAGCTGTTATGAATTGGGAGAGACCCAAAAATGTGAAAGAGATACGTAGTTTCCTTGGCTTAGCGGGATACTATCGTAAATTTGTTGAAAAATTTTCCGTATTGGCGTCTCCATTAACAAAGCTCACGAGGAAAGGGGCCAAGTTCATATGGGACGACAATTGTGAGAAAGGCTTTCTTGAACTAAAGAAACGGCTTACAGAAGCACCGGTTCTCGCTCTACCCACACAAGGGATAGGGTATGACATATACAGTGATGCTAGCATCCAAGGGCTTGGATGTGTACTCAGGCAGAACGGTCGGGTGATTGCCTATGCTTCTAGGCAATTGAAGAAACACGAGGCGAACTACCCTACCCATGATCTGGAGTTGGGGGCGGTAGTGTTTGCACTAAAGATTTGGAGACATTATCTCTATGGAGAGACATGTCACATTTTCACCGACCATAAGAGCCTCAAGTATGTATTCACTCAGAAAGAGTTGAATATGAGGCAAAGGAGATGGATGGAGTTGATCAAGGACTATGACTTGATCATCGACTATCATCCCGGAAAGGCCAATGTAGTGGCCGATGCACTGAGCAGGAAGGGTACGTCGGGGACATTACTCACATGTCTACGAACTTTGAGGGCACAAGTGGAGGTGTCCACGAGTGGGGTCCTCATTGCTAGATTCGAGGTTAGACCTACATTGCTGGGTGAGATCAGTAGATGTCAGGCCATTGATGAAGAATGTCAGAAGATCCGGGAGAAGATCCTTGAAGGGCCCGTGGAGAACTTTCGAGTACGTGATGACGGTCTTTTACTGTTTAAGGACCGGGTATGCATACCAAAGAGTGAGGAGCTCCAAAAGTCTATACTAGAGGAGGCTCATTCTTCGGCATATGCTATGCATCCAGGAGGTACTAAAATGTACCGAGACTTGAAGGAAAGTTACTGGTGGTCGGGTATGAAGAGGGATATCGCAGAGTACGTGAGCCGATGCCTTACTTGCCAGCAAGTTAAGGCGGAGCACCAGCACCCGGCAGGGCTTTTGCAGCCACTGACCATTCCGGAATGGAAGTGGGAACACGTGACCATGGACTTCGTGGTGGGGCTACCACGAACAGTGAACAACTACGACGCAGTATGGGTAGTGGTTGATAGGCTCACCAAGAGTGCACACTTTTTGCCTATCAACATTACTTATCCTCTTGAAAGATTGGCAAAGCTATACACGGAGGAGATTGTGAGACTACATGGAGTCCCGATATCCATTGTCTCGGATAGGGATCCACGATTCACATCTCGGTTTTGGCCCAAGTTTCAAGCATCTTTAATTTGGGTACTAAATTGAAGTTTAGCACAGCTTTTCATCCGCAGACGGATGGACAATCTGAGAGAGTGATACAGATCCTGGAAGATATGCTTAGGGCATGTGCTTTGGAGTTCCAAGGAAGTTGGGACAAGCATTTGGCTCTAGTTGAGTTTGCCTATAACAACAGTTATCAGGCGAGTATTGGCATGCCTCCATACGAGGCATTGTATGGGAGGAAATGCAGGACACCGTTGTGTTGGGACGAGGTTGGCGAGGCCAAGCTCGAAGGAATTGAACTCGTTGAAATCACCAAGGCTAAGGTGAAGGTCATTCAGGATAGACTTAAGGCTGCCCAAGATCGGCAGAAGAGTTATGCCGACAAACGACGCAGGCCATTGGAGTTCGAGGTTGGTGATAAGGTCTTCCTAAGGATTTCTCCTTGGAAGGGCATCATCCGATTTACATCGAGGGGAAAGCTTAACCCCCGATACATTGGTCCATTTGAAATCCTTGAAAGGATAGGGGCTGTGGCATACCGTCTCAAGTTGACGCCGGAACTTGAGAAGATACATGACGTGTTTCATGTATCGATGCTCAAGAAATACGTGAGAGATCCATCTCATATTCTTGAGAAGCCACCGGTGGAAATACGTGAAGACCTACAATATGCGGTGGAACCGGTAAACATTGTGGGTCAACAGGTGAAGAAACTGAGGAACAAGGAGATTCCTATGGTGAAGGTTCTTTGGAGGAGTGATCGAGTCGAAGAAGAAACCTGGGAGACTGAGGTCTCAATGAGGGAGCAATACCCGTTTCTTTTCGATTAGACACGTGGATTCCGGGGACGAAATCCCAATTAAGGGGGGGTGAACTTGTAACACCGTCCCCAAAAAGTATTTACTTTTAAGTAAATAATGTATTGAACTTATGGAATGGTTAACGAGTATTCGTAGTTGTGAATTTTTATTTATTCTTTCGCACGAATAGTAAATTCGCACGTGGGGCCCGCACCGGGAGCGGGGGCCGCCCGATATTTCCGGGACCATATAATTATTCATCTTGGTCTAGATAACATTTATATGGTGGTGGATAACTCATTTGAACCATGGAAGGGTCCTGAGTTGACCGATCGGTCAAAAGAGGCCCAAATACCGGCATTGGCAATTTAACCGATAAAAGCCCGAAATTAAATTTCGGGGACTTATAAATTAAAGTTGGGGAATGAATATTCATTATATGGGTCATAATGATGGAGAACACATAATATATTTTATTTGGCCCGATAAAATAAAATATATTTAAAACAGTCCGAAAAATACAACTTTCGGGACAAATTGTACACTTTGGGACCTGAAGGGTTGACCTCCCACATGGGTGGGGGCCAACCCACGAATTTGGACACTCCATTAGGGGCTTGGTCGGCTGGAGGGCATGGGGAAGGAGTGGGAGTGAATAGAAAGGCATCAAACAAACTTAAGGTGGGCCTCTCCCACACCACTCTTGCTTTTGAGACAAAAGAGACACCTATCTCTCTCCCTCTCTCACCCACTCGACCACCATCATCCAAGGAAGAGAAAACCTCCAAGAAATATACCTCCTCCATAGCCTAACTCGTGCTGCAACTCAACAAGGAAGAAGAAAGAAGTTTGAGGAAGAAGAGGGGGTGGGAAAGTGTGTTGATTGAGGTAATGACCTTATACTAGTTTTTCTTTATTCATTAACAACCACATGGCTTGCATAGCATGTGAGGAACCCTTATAGTAGCTCTACATTCTTAGGAATGTAGAAGGAGGGGTTGAGAGGAAGTTCCAAGTCCAAGAGCGGACATAGGGGCCATAATAA